TATATATATATATATATATATATATATATATATATATATATATATATATATATATAATTATGATATAAGGGCATGGAGAGAGAGAGAGAGGAGAGAGAGAGAGAGAGAGAGAGAGAGAGAGAGAGAGAGAGAGAGAGAGAGAGAGAGACTGAAGGAGAGACAGATCCGTACCATTCAAATCAGGGTTCCGTTTGTAAACAGGATCCTGAACTGCCCCACCTCTGCTTATGTTGACTTTCACTCCACACACACACACACACACACACACACACACACACACACACACACACACACACACACAACACACACACACACACACGCCAGTTTGTTTGCTGATGATGAGTTAATGAGGATAATAAAAACAGATGTAAACAAAGACTACAAAGTGATCTTGACAAACTGCAGGGTTGGTCTGATAAGTTGTTGGTCGAGTTTAACCCCAGCAAATACAAGGTTACGAAGATTCGGGAAGGGGCAAGAAGACCAGTCAGGGGGCACAGACTAAGAGGACAAAGGCTCATGACTTTGCTCAGAGAGAAAGACCCAGAGATAAGCATTTGCCTGGTATATTGTCAGTATATTGACGTCACGGACTCGCACATGCGCTGTAACCAAGTATCTGAAATATGCTGACAATATCACCAGTCGCTCATACCAGGTGAAGAATTTATTCAGTCAATTACATTGCTAAAACCTCTCACGTCAATAAACTTAATTCAAGACCTTTACCAGTTTGACTATTATAAACTTCTTCACATTTTTTACAAGGAATATTGTAAACACACCCGTCATCATTTTGGGGGAATTTTTTTATCAAAAGATTTTTACTGTATCACGATTTTTAAATACAATTTTGATATTAAAATTCCTAAGTAGAGAAGGTATATCAACCAAGTTTTCATGGTAAGGGAGAACCAACATATTTTTAGTTGAATAAGACTGGTTGTCCCTTTTTGAATTGTAAAAAGTATTTCCAGCAATTTTAAAAGATTTATCAATTAAGTTTCTTGGGTATTTTAGCTCATTAGCTATTTCATAATTTTTTGAGATTTCATCAATAAACTCTGGGCTGCAAATAGGCAAAACTCTGAGAAACATTGAAGAGAATACAAACAGTTATCTTGATGTGAAGAATAACAGTGAACATAGGAATAGTTATTTGTTGGCGTTACGTAAATATTAAATTAAAATCATGGTTCCCCTTAATACTCATAGTATCTAGAAAAGGCAATGAGTTATTTGTTGAAACTCAAGAGTAAAATTTATGGTATGAGGTAGACTATTTAATTTAACAAGGAAACGGTTTATATTTATATTCTTAGGCATTAAGACATAAAATATCAACATATCTATACCACTTATCTTTATTAGGAAGGATTTTGTTAAGCTATCTTGTTGCAAAATATTCAATATACAAATTACCATGGACATGTGAGAGAGGATTTCCCATTGCCATACCAAACTTCTGAGTGGAAAACTCGTCATTAAGCACAAACTTTGTATCAACAATACAAAGTTTAATAAGTTTAATGACAGTAGATACTGGCAACGGTAAATCGCAATTAACAAGTTCTTCAGATTGGAAACTTAATAAATCATCAATCAATTGTTGGAAAAAAATCTGACTTTAATGTTAAAAAAATACAGATTTAGTGGATAAATTAAGCACCTTGACTTATTTAAATTATTTCAATATGGTTAGTTTTGATGTACATCCTGTTTACAAAAGCTCCAATAGACGATTTATTAAGACAGACTGACTGGTGTTAATCTCCCTCAGTCTTACGTCAGTGAAGTTCAATCTTTTCTCATCACTGTTCTAAACTGCTCACTGACAGTCCAAGATTGTAATCTACTCTCTCCTTGAAGGCATATAATTTAGCCAATTCATCAGTTCTATCATGCAGGTTAGGCTAGGTTCGTCAGGAAATAGGACAAGTGGTTCCTAACGCGGTTCTTAGTCATATAAGAACATAAGAAAGAAGGAACACGGCAACAGGCCTACTGACCCATGCGGAGCAGGTCCATGTCCCCCCCCCGGATTAGACCAATGACCCACCCCCCGGATTATCCCAATGACCCACCCAGTCTGGTCATCCCCACTCAAGGATGGAGCTCTGTACCAGACCCAGCAGCACAGCTAGTCAGGTCCAACTCACACCCACCCACACCCACTCATGTATTTATCTAACCTATTTTTAAAACTACACAACGTTTTAGCCTCAATAACTGTACTCGGGAGCTTGTTCCACTCATCCACAACTCTATTACCAAACCAGTGCTTTCCTATATCCTTCCTGAATCTGAATTTTTCCAACTTGAAACCATTGCTGCGAGTCCTGTCTTGGCTGGATATTTTCAGCACACTATTTACATTCCCTTTATTTATTCCTGTTTTCCATTTATACACCTCGATCATATCCCCCCTAATTCTACGCCTTTCTAGAGAGTGCAGATTCAGGGCCCTTAGTCTATCCTCATAGGGAAGATTTCTGATACATGTCATCCTCCTTTGTACGTTTTCCAGAGCATTTTTATCCATTCTGTAATACGGTGACCAGAACTGAGCAGCATAGTCTAAATGAGGCCTAACCAAGGATATATAGAGTTGAAGAACAACCTGAGGACATGGTGACCCATTTTGGTCATCTGACCGAGGCCTTCCACTGGCTTACCCCTCCACCCATTTAAAAATTATGGTTATGATTATAACCATTACATAATAATTGAAAAGGGAAGGGATAGTGGTTTGAAATGAGGTAATATCCCGTGAAGGCCTGGTCACGGACCGGGCCGCGGGGGGGGGGGGGGGTTTACCCCGAAATACTCCAGGTACAGAGTGAGGACGTGTCACTGTTGTTTTACTTGACATAGATTATGTATCTGTTCAAGCGGAGGTTAGTTCCAGTCTTATGATCAATCTGGACGAGAGTTCACCAATGTTGAGGAAAACTTGTATGGACCACGACTGAGAAAAACCACAGTATGAGTGACCATGAATGAGAGAACCACAGTATAAGTGACCATGAATGAGAAGAACCACAGTATGGAGTGACCATGAATGAAAAACCACAGTATGAGGACATGAATGGAGAACCACAGTATGAGGTGACATGAATGAGAACCACAGTATAAGTGACCATGAATGAGAAGAACCACAGTATGAGTGACCATGAATGAGAAGAACCACAGTATAAGTGACCATGAATGAGAAGAACCACAGTATGAGGGACCATGAATGAGAACCACAGTATAAGTGATCATGAATGAGAAGAACCACAGTATGAGGGACCATGAATGAGAAGAACCACAGTATAAGTGATCATGAATGAGAAGAACCACAGTATAAGTGATCATGAATGAGAAGAACCACAGTATGAGGGACCATGAATGAGAACCACAGTATAAGTGATCATGAATGAGAAGAACCACAGTATAAGTGACCATGAATGAGAAGAACCACAGTATAAGTGACCATGAATGAGAAGAACCACAGTATAAGTGACCATGAATGAGAAGAACCACAGTATAAGTGACATGAATGAGAAGAAACCACAGTATAAGTGACATGAATGAGAAGAACCACAGTATAAGTGACCATGAATGAGAAGAACCACAGTATTGATGGGAAGCCATGTATAAGTAAGAGAACCACAGTATAAGTGACCATGAATGAGAAGAACCACAGTGAGGTGACCATGAAGAAAAACCACAGTATGAGGGACCATGAATGAGAAGAACCACAGTATGAGTGACCATGAATAAGAAGAACCACAGTATGAGTGACCATGAATAAGAAGAACCACAGTATGAGTGACCATGAATAAAAGAACCACAGTATGAGTGACCATGAATGAGAAGAACCACAGTATAAGTGACCATGAATGAGAAGAACCACAGTATGAGGGACCATGAATGAGAAGAACCACAGTATGAGGGACCATGAATGAGATAAAAACCACAGTATGAGGGACCATGAATGAGAAGAACCACAGTATGAGGGACATGAATGAGAAGAACCACAGTAATGACAGTGGACCATATGACATGATGAGAAGAACAGAGTTAAGGACCATGAATGAGAAAAACCACAGTATGAGGACCATGAATGAGAAGAACACAGTATGAGGGACATGAATGAGAAGAACCACGTATGAGGGACCATGAATGAGAAGAGGACCACAGATAATACCTTGGAGGAACGTAGGGATTGACGGTCAAGTATGTGTCCCGAATAAGTGAACACAGTATGGTGACAGAATGGAGCCCCATAGAGTGTGGGGCCCTCCCAGTGTGGCTGAATCAGCAGACCGCCAGGACTGGACCATGAAGATGAAGACAACAGTGTATGACGGGCCATGCTGGAGCAGGTCATGTTCACATGATGAATGACACTGTTAAACCATGATGGAAAAAAGCACAGTGAGGCATGAATGAGAAGAACACTGTTATGAGACCATTGAATGAGGTACCACAGTATAAGTGACATAATGAGAAGAACACTAGGACCATAGAAAATCGTATGAGGGACCATGATGAGAAGACCAAGTATGAGGGCACTGAATAAGGACCACAGTTATGAATGCATGTTGAAGAACCACAGTTAAGTGACATGAATGAGAAGAACCACAGTATAGGGACTATGAATGAGAAAAAACCACGTATGAGTGCCATGAATGAGAAGAACCACAGTATGAGTGACCATGAATGAGAAGAACCAGAGTAAGGGACCATGAGTGAAGAACCACAGTATGAGGGACCATGAATGAGAAGAACCACAGTATGAGGGACCATGAATGAGAAGAACCACAGTATGAGGGACCATGAATGAGAAGAACCACAGTATGAGTGACCATGAATGAGAAGAACCAGAGTAAGGGACCATGAGTGAAGAACCACAGTATGAGGAACCATGAATGAAAGAACAACAGTATGAGGGACCATGAATGAGAAGATCCGCGGTATGAGGGACCATGAAAGATGAGAGGGAGCTGACAAACCCTTGGAGGAAGGTAGCGTTGACGTCAGGTATGTGTCAGCACTCATGCTGACACAGGGATGGTGAGGATGGGACCCTCCCAAGGTGGGGCCCTCCCAGTGCCTGGCTGCATCACTCACCCGCCAGGCACTGGCACTCTTCAGTGAAGACTTATTAGCACAACAGTGTCACTGCGACAACCCTGCTGGAGCAGTGTCACTGTTCACACGAGAATGTCACTGTTACAACCATGATGAAGCAGTGTCGGTGACAGTCATGCTAGGGAAGTGACACTGTTCTGATACCATTGTTCTGGTACCACTGTTCTGTTACAACTGTTCAGATATCTCTGTTCCAAGATCAATATTCTAATGGCACTGTTCAAAGACCATTATTTTAATGGCACTGTTCCAAGACCATTATTTTAATGGCACTGTTTTAAAAGCACTTACAAAAATCACTGTACCAATATCACTGTTCATTTACCATTCAGGTCCAGGGCAAGACTGGTTCTTGGAGAACCATCTGGCCCACCAATATCCACCCGGAAAGGTGTGCTTGCGAAGGTAGAAACGAGCTAGGAGGACAATGTTTCGAGCAACAGACTAGGAGTAACCAGCGCCAGGCTAGGACACAGTGGGTAGAATGGCACGTGTTTGTGTCCAGCGCGGCGCCCTACTGGCCCAGCCTGCGCCCTACAAGCGCACCTTTCCCACTGACCCCAGCGCCCCGCGGGCACCGCCGCGCCCGACCCCAGAGAAGGGCCGGGCGCTGCGCACGAGAGCTGCGCACAGCAGTGCCCTGCAGTGCCTGTACCCCAGAACAGTGCGCAGGCTAGCGCAGAGCTCACTGGTACTCTGGGCACCGGAAGTGACGGTCAGCGCGCAGAAAACAAGTGCGCCTTGTACTACCCTTGACAAACTTAACCCTCCCCCCCCGGCGCAAAAATGGCGCACGTCAGCACCTAAACACAAGCACCGTGACAAACACCGACATATACACTCCCATATAAACAAGAACATAAACACCATGACGTACACAGCTCAGAACGCCGATAGAAATAAGAAAAGGACCACAATGGAAATAAGACGAGGACCACAATGGAAATAAGCCGAGGACCACAATGGAAATAAGCCACTTTCACATTTTGGGGGGTTAACTTAAGTAATTTATATTAAGTATAATAACTGAACTAAGGTGCACCTGTGTCTAAATAAGCTTACTTATTAAACAGACCTACCAACCTGTAGATCCCGCGTGGGAAAGCGCAACACAGGTTGTGCAACGTTACTCTGTGTAGAGACAAGACTTTAAATAGGGCGAAGAGAACTTTATAAAGCTCTACACCGAAGAAAACACAAGACCTGATAAAGCCTGGCTGGTAGCGGACTCACCTCACTGAGTGTCCGTGGTTCGACCCCCAGTACGAATGGACAAATTGGGCGTCTCTGTTCACCTAGCAGTAATTAGGTACCAGGGCGTTAGTCGATTGTTGTGGGTCGCATTCTGGGGATGGTAACTGGCACTATGTATGATGACTGTATTCCTGTGTAACTGTGCCTAAAAAAATTAACTGAGCTGGGGTAGGTTAACAGGTTAACTGATTTTAACATAAAACTCTGAGTGAAAAGGAATTAGAATGAGCAGGACAAAACATGTAGCAGAGGCATACTTTATACATAGTTTGAAGAATGGGTATGATATGGCCCACGAGGATAGGAGGGAGTCAATCCTTCCGCAAGTGCCAAATTAAAAGGTAGGACCAGGACCTGAGACTCGACTGCTGCAACCACAAAATTTTTGAGTACAAATAGATGAGTACACACGAACATACACACAAAAACCAGGAACTGTGAATCGACCCCTGCAACCACAAATAGTTGAGTACACAAACACACACCACCACACACACACACACACACACACACACACACACACACACACACACACACACACACACACACACACGAAGTATTTCTTCAGTCATAGAGTCGTCAGGAAGTGGAATAGCCTAGCAAGTGATGTAGTGGAGGCAGGAACCATATATAGCTTTAAGACGAGGTATGACAAAGCTCAGGAAGCAGAGAGGACCTAGTAGTGATCAGTGAAAAGCGGGGCCAGGAGCTGAGTCTCGACCCCTGCAACAACCATTAGGTGAGTACATACACACACAGCCAAAAGCTGTGAATCGACCCCTGCAATCACATATAGATAACAACACGAACACACACACACAGGGAGAGTGACCGAGTATTGACCAATGAAGAGGCGGGGCCAGGAGTTGTGAATCTACCCTTGCAACCACAACTAGGTAAGTACAATGTATCATACCTCAACAGGTGAGCGGCAGTAAGTATGCATCATCTTCAGTGAGGGAGACAATGAGGAACCTTGAGGAGTGACGCGACAGCAGATACACAACCACTTCATCCCCGGGAACCCTCACACTAGCTGCGAAATCCCCAACCACCCCCAGGAAATCCCTTCCCTCTCCTCCCCACCCCCATCTTACCCTCGCATCTTCCCCCAAATTCTCCAACCACACCCCACGCCAGCCCAAATACGTTCCCTAACAAGGCTCTGCCGGGTCACCGACTGGAAAAGACCCGGGTTGGGACAACACCGGCGACCCACATCACTGCACTAACAGGACCAACCTATGATCCATTACTACCTACCTGGAGTCGACTTCGGGGGGTCACCTATCCCCTCCCCTCAGCCCCGGTGGCCCTATACCAGACCAGACCTCCCAGTTGCTGGCCTGATCAACCAGGTTGCTGCTGCTAGTAGTTAGTTGTGCCACCTAAACAGCTATTTGGTGCAGCCCATGCTCATATTATCTCTAATTTCACATCCTTGTGAATAGTAACGCAAAAAAGCAGGATTACAGATGTCACAGTTAGCCAAATCAAGACCCCGCAGTACATCATCACTAAATTGAAATAGAAAGAGTAGTCATTTCATATGCTACAGTTACTACACATAGGTAATGTACACCATACAAAACAGAATACAATCGCAAAAAAAATGCTATCTTATTACAATAAATAACACTGTTGATAATTGGTTTTGCAATCTCCTTAATATTATTTAAGTTCATTCTCTAGTCGCCGCAAAATTTGCTAGTTTCTTTTTAACAATGTTTTGTAAACTTGTCTATAATAATAATAATAATAATAATAATAATAATAATAATAATAATAATAATGATAATAATAATATCTTTATTACTACCAGTACATGTACAAGGTATACAGACCATAGCTGACATCAATAACATACTACTGTATAGAAAGCCGCTTGTTATGCATGAGCATTTCCCGCAAATTAGGTCAGTTTTGTTCCAGGATGCGACCCACACCAGTCCACTAACACCCAGGTACCCATTTTACTGATGGGGAACATTGACAACCGGTGTAAAGAAACACGCACATGTTTCTACCCTCGCCGGGAATCGAACCCGGACACTCGCCGTGTGAAGCGAGAGCTTTAGCCACCAGGCCACGGGGCACCGTTTAAAAAAAATGGAACACTTCTTTATATAAATGCTTTTGTTTTTACCTACCGGTAATCGAATCCCGGACGGCTCGCCGTGTGAAGCGACAAAGCCTACTTAACCAACCTGACGGTGCCAACCTATACGACGACAAACAAAAGGTCACTCAAACAATCTCTTTATCCTTTTTGTTAATTACTTACGTGTCATGCTTCCTGTACGCTATGTAATAAATTCACAACACCCTGACGTTAATCCCTTTACGCTGATATTGTACCATACCTAAACAGACATCACATATCAGTATTCATCATCGAAGATGTATCGAAATTATACTCACGATTAATTCTTTTCATGTGAACGTGCACACTTGACATCTTCCTTCACGTAAGCCATCTTGTCGTAAGGGTACCTAAATCACGATCAGGTCTAGTATCACTCTTTATCTGTGAGAATATATCAAATTCGAAATACATTTCCGTTTGCATTGCAAAGGAATTCTCCCTTGGTAGTAATGGCGGTCGTTAAAAGAACTATCTAAATTCCGAGTTCGCCAGTGGTTAATACGACTTCTGTCGTATACATTAGCATTAAAAAGAAATTTAGACTATTCAGGGCCTCGGCTATGGTAGGAATAGCGTGAGATGAAAGCAAATAATTGATCTCAGTTTTCCACAACTGAGTTAAATATGACTACTTCAGTTATTCAAAGTATAGACCAATTCTATCTCATACTAAGCAAGTAACGAGAGCAGTCAAGTCACAATTACACTTTGAAGGTGAACACCAGCATTAATCAATCACACAACACTCTGATTACATACCACATCACATACTCACACGCACACACGACACACACACCAACGTCAACACACACCAGACCAAAGGTATCATTATCTATGGCTGACCAAGAACTGACTTCAGGAGCCTATCAGATCTCTTTGATGACAGGGATTTGTAGGTAATTCACCATACACACGAAGTGAGCGTATTGAGTCTTGGTTCCCCTTACACTTAACTAGTTCTCTCTAGTGTAATCATTGCACCTCTTCTTGGCTTAAGAAAAATAAGCCACAAGCTTAACTTGATCGGGTTATCCTAGGTCAGTGCCTATTTTTAAATTCCTGTATCCCTCCAGTGGTTTTTTATTTTCTCGAAATTTTCGTACCACCTCTCAGAAGTAACTTAAAACTTAAATTTCTTACAGAGAATGTTTTTATTTATACAGCAAAAACCAATAGTGAGTAGATCAATGAGAAATTATTAAGTTAGTAGATATACGAGACAATATTGAATAAGAACTTACATGCAATTCATTATAAACAGTAAAAACACATGTCTTATTTAGTGGATCTTTTATTATTGAAATAGCCACTCGCATCACTTGTTTTCACGTGCAGAAGTATTGAAAAAAACTGCCTCACACTAACGATTGTGACCAGAGATAAACACGCAAACAGTTTATTACCTTTATAACTTGTTCAGCTATCAAATCTTTGGAGTCCAGTCCCTGGACCCATTATGTACCTCTGTAATCTTTTGACTACCGTCCATAGGATGGGTCTGGGCTGCATAATAAATATGTCAAATCTCAAAAACTTTTAAGACTTGCACATACCAGAAGTTTTCTTTTTCATCCTCGCTGATTCAAATTCCACTCGCATTACTTCATTCACTTCCAGTTCAGCAAGAGCATCTGACACTTTATCACTGGTTCAGATTCAATATAAATGGGTTCTGAATCCCTCCCTTAGCTGCTGAAACATCTCCAGGGTGAACGTAACCTCGGGGACACTGAATGAGTTCCTTCTAATGATTTTTCGCGATGCAGAGTTCTTTTCCCCCGAACAGCAGCCTCGTCAGCAGAATTTCCTTTCTGGATGAAATTTATCCATTTCGAAGTTATTTCCGTGAAGATTAACAACATTAGATAAAAGGGCACATGTGCAACTAATAAATCTTTTTGTGGCAACGTAACGGCTATACAAAGCTCCTGGAGAGCGAAACCTTGCCACAATAAAATGTCGCATTAGCTGCACATGTGCCCTTTTACCTAACATATTGTCGATAATTCTACCAACATTATTACATAATTAACAACGTTTTTCTTCACAGTGATCGTTCCTACCCTCCAGCTTCGTTTCTTTCGTACCCCCAGAGGATACAGTCACCCCTGGTTAAGAACCACTGCCCTGGGTTAATTACATGATACCTATATA